CGGCTCTACGTTGACTCTCTACTCTCGGCCGACTCTACACGCGGCTTCCACAGGTGGTGGCGACTGCTCATCCTCAGCATGTGTTTCTACCTCAACCTCTTCTGCCGTGTCCTTGTCTACGCGTGAGATTGCACAGCTACGATGCCCACTTGGTGCCTGGGATTCTTCACCGACAGGTTCTGCAGTTTTCGTGGCTGACTCTTCTGGCACTGAGAACCCACCATCTACTCATTTAGGTACATCCCCATGGATTCTTGATACTGGAGCATCTTTTCATATGACTTGTGATTCTTCCACTTTGACCTCCTTTTGACCTGTTGAGTCTCCTGTTAGTGTTCTTACGGCTGATGGCACTTCTCTCCCTGTAGCTAGTCGAGGCACTCTTAGCACTTCTTCCTTTCATGTTCCCTCTATCGCTCATGTTCCTCGACTTACTATGCAGCTCATATTTGGTGGTCACATTGTTGACTCTAGTTGTAGGGTCATTCTCGACTTCGATTCGTGTTCTGTTCAGGATCATCGCACGGGTGCTCTGCTTGGTGCCGACCCTCGATGCTCTAATGGTCTCTAGGAGCTTGATTGGCTTCGTCTTCCCTTCGCTGCCACCGCCGCCAATCTCGTAGCCTCTGTTGCTACATCTACTAGCTCTTTTTAGCAGTGGCATCATCGCCTTGGCCATTTATGCGGTTCTCGTCTCTCATCTTTGGTTCATCGTGGTGTTCTGGTGTTCTGGGGTCTGTCTCCGGTAACGCTTCGTTGGATTGTCTGGGTTGTAGGCTTGGTAAGTAGATTCAGCTACCCTACCCTCACAGTGAGTCAGTGTCCGAGCGTCCTTTTGATCTCGTTCACTCTGATGTTTGGGGTCCAGCTCCCTTCGCTTCGAAAGGGGGTCATCGCTACTATATCATCTTTATAGACGATTTTTCTCGGTACACTTGGATCTATTTCATGTCTTCTCGCAGTGAGGTCTTATGTCCATATACAAAAAATTTGCTGCCATGGTTCATACACAGTTTTCCACTCCTATTCGTGTGTTTCGCGCAGATTCAGCTGGTGAGTATATCTCCCATGCGTTGCGAGGATTTCTTGTTGAGCAGGGTACTCTTACTCAGTTCTCTGGCCCTAATGCTCATGCTCAGAATGGTGTGGCTGAGCGCAAGCATCGTCATCTTCTTGAGACGGCGCGTGCAATGATGGTCGCCGCCTATCTTCCGCCTCACTTCTCCTCAAACTCATGGTGGATCAACAAGAGTGAGTTCAGATAGAAGTCATGTTGTGCTCTAGTATGAGCCTTTGCAAAGAGATCCGCCAATTGTAACTCTTGAAGGCATTTTTGTACTAAAGAGCAATAAACTGATCCTGCACACCAGCGCGCACAAAAGAAGCATGAACACCAATATACTTGGTGAGCTCATGCTTCGCAGGGTCATTCGCAATACTAACAACGCTTGTAATGTCAAACAAGAGCAGAGTAGGTGTAGTGATAGAAACGTAAGAAGCATCAATACGAGTGCGGGGACATGAGATTCAGCATTTTCCAAAAACAACCATTTGGTAATATGGCAGCATATGTAAGTATTTAGAAAAATAAATAGCACAAAGATTAAATGATAATTTTGATGAGAGAATTTTTTAGTTAAGATTTTTGCATATCTGTTGCCCCATTTTCATTGATGAAAGGCCTTGAGTAGTCCATTCACGTAAGAAGACCCTCCACCAAAAGCCCATGTACATGTAATCCTCCACTCAGAGCCCATATAAGATCCAACCTTAGAAAACCTAGACTAGGCTTTTCCAGCCCTTCTTATTCCCATGCTCTTTCTCCACTTCCTCTAGCTACCGAAGAAGTGCATAACATGAGATGCGCCTCTAGCCACCAAAGAAATGCAGAACATGAGATGCACCTGTACCTTCTTGCTTGTCGACAACTTGCATCCCCATCTTCCCGTGTGCCTGAATCTTCTTCCTCACCGCAGGCTGCAATCCCCATATTTCTAGAGCTTCTTCCTCACCGGCAACCACCTTCCCATCTTCCACTCTGCCTGTCTCTTCTTCCCCACCAGTGGCTAACGTTCCCATCTCCCCCCCATGCCATATTTGTCCAGTATCCCTGATGTACCCCCTTTTTCTTTTATTTCTTTTATAAACCCAAAAGGAAAGAGATATTGCTGGATACATGTCGTGTCCACGCGTATTGCTGTGTCCCGTCGTTACTAGGACAACTATTCGGCTATATCAGTCGTGTCCATGCTTTTTAGACAAAAACACCAAATTCCCAAAGTAACCACTGTAACCACGTCACCTCTGCCGTCAAAGGAGCTAGAGCTCACCACTCTGCCTCTACACTCGAATGGGAAACTGTAGTATGTTTCTTCATCTTCAAGGCAGTGAAAGAACCACCAAGAAAAACACTAGCCCAGGGTGACTAGTCCATGTAGCATCTGAATAGGCCTGAAGCTGTAATGAACTTCAGCAGGGAAAGAACATACGGTGAGAGATCGTGCCACGAAGATATCGGAGAACAAGGAGGTGACTAGTGAAGTGGGAGCAGAGACAAACAGACTCAAAAGTATGGACATGATAGGAGATATCCGGATGAGTGACAACTTGGACACTACTCCCGACAAGACAGTGACAACGCGTCAGATCAAACAAGGGTCACCATCAGAAGCACGGAGGTGAACATTGAGCTCCATGGGGTCTCAACAGTGCGCTCACCAGTAACAACAGCATGAGCAAGGAGATCCTGAATATATTTTTCTTTGGAAATGAAGAAGCGAGGTAGAAGAAACCTCAATTTGAAGAAAGTAGCGAAGTGGGTGAAGATAAGAATGAGAAACTGCTCACATGCCTTCACAAAGGCAATGTATTCAGGGTTGTCGCTAGTGATGACCATGTCATCAACATCAACATATAGAAGAGGAGTCCGACCACGAGCAGAGAGGCGGACAAACGACGCATGATCATGAGCACTTACCGGAAAACCAGCAACAATTACCACAGAGGCGAAACGCTCAAACTAGACACGAGGGGCTTGCTTAAGGCCATAGAGAGAGCGATGAAGGTGGCAGACCATGACATCATCAAGAACAAAATATCCAAGTGGTGGCTGCGTGTAAATCTCCTTACAGAATTCACCATTAAGAAAGGCATTCTTAACATCAAGCTGAGGCCACAACAAGAATTGTGCCAACAGTGGTCATATGGGCCACATGAGCAAAAGTCTCATCATAATGACGATCATGATCCTGCTGAAAGCCACATGCCACAAGACGAGCTTTGTACAAGTGATGGGATGAACACAAAGAAAGAGAAACAAGATCCCATATGCTGGTGTGCTCAAGAGCAGGAATCTCCTATGCCATCGCAAGCTGCCATTTGGGATGAACAACTGTATCATGATAAGAAGTTGGCTCAAGGACAACAACGTTAGTGAAACCATTGGGTCAACAGGCAGATGGGGGTGATGGCGTAAGGCATAAGTAGGCTGAGACGGAAGAGGGTACATCAGAAGTAGATGGCTCATGAGTATAATAGTGAGGAAAAAGGGAAGAATACGAGCACGCACCATCGTATAGGCTCAAGTGATAGATATGGTGAAGCCACAAGGGATGAAGGTGCGGAATCATGTGACAGGTGAGGTGAGGAAACCCTAGGAGATGGCAGCGTCAGATCTGCAGCAGTCGGAGAAGCATGAACAATGGGATGGGTGGACAAGGGCTCAACATGAGTGATAGAGGTGTGTCGGGAAAAGTGAGGAAAGATATATCCTCCATTGAAAAGGTCGAGGAAGATGGACGTGGGTAGGAGGGATAAGACTCATCAAAAGTCACATCTTAGAAATATGCATTCGACGACCGACAATGATAGCCCTTATGCTCATCATTGTATCATAGACTGAATGGTTAGTTTGGTGCGTTCATTGGGGGCAAGAAGAACATAGCAAAGACAACCAAACAAAATAAGTGTCAAATAATCAGGAGAGCGATCAAAAGGACCCTCGAAAGGAATGCCGCCCTATAGAGCAGAGCATGTTGAATGTTGCTGAGATAGCTGGAACTGGAGGGAACCTTAGCCCAAAAGTGGGGCAAAAGAGAGGTGGCGATCATCAACGCACGAGTCGTCTCAAGAAGGCGACGATGCTTGTGCTCAGCCACACCATTACGATCATGAGCACCAGGACAAGAGAACTGAGCAAGAGTACCCTGCTCAGCAAGGACTCCACGCAACATCTTGGAGATATACTCTCCAGAAAAATCAGCCGGAACACACAAATAGGCGTAGAGAATTGAGTGTGAACCATGACAACAAAACGCTTATATATAGATAGATAAGAAGGCATAAAATATATCTAGGTGTATCGAGATCCAGGTGTGTCGAGAGAAATCCCTATATATGATGGCCCCTTTTGAGGCAAAGGGAGCTGGACCCTATACATCGGAGTGAACATGGTCGAAAGGACCCTGAAACAGAGTCCCGCTATGAGGATAAGGTAACTGGACTTGGTTACCAAGTCGGCAACCCTCATAGTCTAAAGACACACTGTTGGAGATGGACCCAAGAAGACCATGTGGAACTAAGGATGAGAGACGAGAGCCACACAAGTGACCACCGTGATGATGCCACTATTGATAACAATGGGTAGACAAGGCAACATAGGCGGAGAGACTGGCGACAACAGAGATTGGGGATTGGAGGAGAGACGGTGGCCAGTGGAGGGCGACAACAACTAGACAGTGGCCAGAGGCAGAAGCGTCGGGAGTAGCGCAACCGTTGAAGAGGAGGAAGTGGCGACACAAGATGGGTTCAAGCACAAGTTGCATGTGCTGATTTTTTTTGGGTCTCTAATACCATGTCAGGAAATATGCCACTTATATTTCCAGGTGGCCATAGGCTAGTATATATACGCATATATGTGTAGTACAATATGCAGAAAGCCCCTTATAGAATGGAAAAATACAAAGTATACACAGCTAAATATATATAACCCTTAACAGTTCATAGGCATTACCCCCTTTTGATTCAGTTACAATGTGTTTTTATGAAGGAAGAAAGTGACCACATGTGGAGGTACACTAGTTGTCCTTGATGTGCTGGGTTCAAGGGAAAAAAAATAGTGTGGTATACAAAATAGCGTTGTCCTTTAAATTATGCTATTAGCGAGACATTGTACACTGATTTATTTAGCGAGACAATTCTCTACACGCTATAGCATGCTATTTTTTTCAGTGGTTGGGTTAGGTTGATTAGGTGGAATAGAAGGGTTGAGGTGCCACAAAATGTAGTAACTTAACACAAGAATACGCATTGTTGTATTAACGAGCTTAATGAGCTACTCGTGAAACTCGTTATGTCACTTGTTAAGCTTAACAGGCTAAAACCAGTGATTGGTTCTGTTCATTAAGAAGCGAGCTATGAGCTTCACGAGTCGATCTATCGAGCATCCATTAAGCTCGCAAGCTACGAGCTTTTGGTCTACCCCTAGTTTGGATGGCCATCATGGCACCAAGGGGGTTGCTGGGATCAGCGTCATGCCACGAGGGTGTTCAGAGGTATCATCTACTTGCCAAGGTCCATTGGGTGTGATCGGTGGTTGTCACTGATGGTCTCCGGGGTTGGAGGCTGGGGCGCTGGTGAATGCCTTGCATGATCATGTTCATGTTGATGACGATGTCCATAGACGCGATTCTTCTCCTTGAAGGCACCGCTCCATTTATTTCTCCTTCAAACTGCTCGTATCATGTACCACCTGGCCTCTCACTAGGTGTGCACCTTGGTGTCCCGCTGGGCGATGCGTGTCGAGGCACTCTAGGAAGATTTACGGTCATCGTCAGGATCAAGCAAGCACCTTTTGTTCATGTGCTTAGCTTAGCTTTGCTTAGTTCCGGTTTACTGGTCTCCTGTTTGGCCTTATTTGTGCTTCTCTTGTATAGGTGGAATCATCACCAGGGTTGGTGTGTGTGTGTGTGTGTGTGTTACCTTTGTGTGATGCTTGGTTGGGCGCTTTATCTATAAACCGGGGCAAAAGCTGTTTTCAGTAATACTGACATTATCAGAGGCTAATTTGCACACTTGTGCAGAACTTATGAAACGCGATGTTAGGACAAAATCACAGTTGTAATCCACATATTTTAGTGTACCAATCTGACATTTTTAAGCTGACGAGTATATTGTAGTCTACCGCTGTTAGACTGTTTTGGTGAGTTTCTACAAACAATCCTTTAAGTGTCATGTTTCCTACTCTTTTCAGGTCAGGAAGCAGCAGTTCAGGAGCTTGCTGACTCAATTTTTGCAAGACGCATTGCCAGTACCATTGAGCAGAAACAGGTAACTGATTGACATCCATTTCTCACTGCTACAGACTTTGTGCGGTGAATTTGACAGACATATGTTCTAGATTTTTGCTAGAAGTCATCTTGTATACAATAGGGCCGTGTAGCATATTTGGCAAGGCTATAGGTTAGATCAGCTGTTTACATAAACGTTCCTATGATGTTCTTTCTGATGTTTCCAGTTGGTTTCCTAGGTTTTGTTTCATGATTTACAAAATATATAACTCTGTAATCATTGACTTCAGTGCCATATGTTCCTATAACTCTTGTGTATGTGGCATATATATATTAAAATCCAATTAATAACCACTCTCATTTCTAATCTGGCCTCTTATGTTTTATTGTAGGTGAAAATTGAGTCTGAATTTCTAGGGGAGCATGGGGAGCAAGAAACTGAATATTCAACATATCATCAGAGGTTGAACTATTATGACGATGACGATGACAACAAAAGAGTTAAAAAGGCCAAGCATATATTCAGAGACGATAGAGGAGCCTCAAGTAGTCATGCTGTGAATCAACCTACTCCGTGGTTAAGTGGCGGTGTTGGGTCAGCTGGTGATGGTTATTTGAAGGAAGAAGATTATGAAATGACATCGGGCCCTCGTGCAAATGTCCGTGGTGACCTTGCCAAGCCTCCCTTCTTCCTCTATGGAAATGTTGTTAACATCACCAAAGATGCGTGGTCTGAAATATCGGGTTTCTTGTCGGGTGTGCAGCCCGAGTTTATAAATAGTCAGCTTTTCTCAGCTTTGATGCGAAGGGAAGGTTACCTTCATAACCTTCCAACAGAGAGAAGGCATGTTGTGGTTCCGAAGTCACCAATGACAATTGAGGATGCAGTGCCTTCCGCAAGACATTACTGGCCCACATGGGATACCAGAAAACATATTGGTAGTGTTACTTCAGAGGTGGCAGGAATTGAACAACTTTGTGAGATGTTGGGAAAGACCATAAAAGATTCACGAGGATTTCTTTCAGAAGAAAAACGAGCGCAGATCTTGCACCAATGCAAGATGGCAAATCTTATCTGGATTGGTCAAGACCGGCTAGGCCCTCTGCAGCCAAATCAAATGGAGCGGATATTAGGTTACCCATCAAACCATACAAATCTGTTTGGTCTAAACCCACCGGACAGGATTGGTGCTATGAAATACGCTTTTCAAACGGACACCATTGCTTATCTTTTGTCAGTTCTAAAAGACATCTATCCAGATGGTTTGAGGGTACTATCCATCTATAGTGGAGTTGGGGGTGCAGAAATTGCGCTGCATCGTCTCGGTATTCCACTAAAGTGTGTAGTGTCTGTTGAAGAGTCTGATGTGAACAGGAAAATTCTGAAAAGATGGTGGGCAAAAACAGAGCAGAGCGGAGTTCTGAGACAACTAAATGGCATATGGAAGCTAAAGACCGATGCACTTGAGGACCTATTTAAGGAATTTGGTGGCTTTGACTTAGTTGTTGGCGGAAATTACAGTTCATATAGAGGTGGGACGACAGTAAATGCAACTATGGGGATGGACTCCGGTAAATACTTTGAGTACGTTCGTGTTCTTCAAAGAGTGAGAAGTATGCAGCACTTCTTTAAGTAGTTGTTGCCTGACATAATCATGTCCTTCACCATCTATCTTCAACAAGGGATGGCGCAGCGTTATGAGACATGTAAATGGTAGGATGAAGACGTACGCTCTGTTGACAGCTAGAGAACTTTGTGCTGTCTCTTTATCCAGCTAGAGAACTTTCTACTGTCTCTTTATCACTGCATGATGAGTTCAACTATCCTTCTGCTCCTGATTAATTAGCTGCATATTACTGTAACTATTAATCGGTGCACGCGAGTTATCCTTCTTGCTTGGTTGGTTAGTTTGGTCATGTTGCTGCCGTTCGTGGTCATAGTTCTCTGTGCTGTTTTAAGTTTGTGTGTTGATGATTGGCTGAAGTAGAGGCAGCAGTACATGCAGGTTGCTGATTTGCATATGAGCTAGTGATTTGTGTGAAAACATCCATGTGCACTTTACAGGTATATGATTTTCCCTTAAGTCTAGGAATGTTTAGCTGCCTACACGTTATGCTGCTTCAAACAATGGCATGTGCAGATTTGTGTGCCATGCTGTACGGTAGTTTCTTCATGGCCAAGATGGAAATGTCAGATCAGTTTGAGTTAGGTTTCTTGAGTCAAATGGTGTGTGACTTGTATGTCTGCGTGCTAATGAAACAGTCAGTTTGATCATAACCAAGAATCAGAAGCTTGGCTGATTTGCTGGGATATGGACGACACGAGACAGCAGTTATACCTACTCCAAGTTCGATCAGCTTGCTGGTTCTGAAGATTTGTCAACGTATTCAGTTTGTACTAGACAGAAAATTTTGAAGTATCCAAGAGAAGGATGTGCTGACTATATAAACTAGATGATGCCTTGCACGTTGTTGCAGGAATATTTCGCAATATTTCAATGAGGTTTTAGTTATATGGAACATGAATATTTAAAATAATAGTTTTTGAAAGTGCATAAGAATTAAATGTAAATAGCATGCATGTTTGCATGTTGAAGTTGATTTTTAATATGTATAGTTGCATGTTAAGGTGGACCTTCTTCTATGCATGTTGAATGATGAGGTGGCATGCTTGCATGTTAAGAGAAATATGTTAGCGGGGGCTAAAGGCAACGAGAGGCAAGTGCTAATTGTGGTCGTATCAATGTGGGTACACCTGGTAGTAGCCACACCTTCATGTTTTGGATACAAGGTGACACCCACCTGCAAGTGAATGTGTACTCTTTTATTCACCTGAATACGGTCTTATCCAATGCAAATCTACATTAAGAACTAACACATTCCACACAATCCAATTCTTTCAGAGAATAATTGGAATCAGACATGCAATTCAATACTTAGAAAGCAGTGTTAACTATCGTCAGTTCAAAAGCTTTATTATTTCACGAGTTGGTAAACAGAACATTCAGGCGGTTAAGCTGCTAAATAACCATGGTACCACCTATATCATAACCCTTTTCCTCATGTGCTCAACTTGGGTACAGGAGTGTAATACCCCACAATTGGAATCATATTACCATAGCCAAAATAATCACACACTTTGGCCTCATCACACACCTTGTTTGCATGCCCTGATTGTACTTGGATTGAGCAGATGTGGTTACAACAATGATGTTTGCTCCCTCGGCAAAGCCCACCACATGGACTTCTTCCACCGGAGCGCCGTTTAGGGACAAACTTCCCAAGTAGATGATCCGGCCCGGTACCCATCGGGCATCGGCCTCTCTTGACCACAACTGCAGATGCGGATTCAATTCTTCGACGAGTCCCAGTCCACCGTTCTCCGCCAGCATGAGGTTGCAATCAAATATATCCTTAATGCTGCAGGAGTATGGTACGTCGAACCAAATCAGCCTGTGCCTTGCCAAGTCATACTCCAGGACCAACCCACCATCGGACAAGAAGTAGAGCAGAGACTTCCCAACAAGCACACTCGAATAATATGTGAAGGACATGTAACACTCGCCATGCATCAAGGTCGGCTCGCCCCAGGCGCCAGTGTCCGACGAGTATACGCACGCCGACGTGACATACTCCTGCTCGACGGCGCCTTCGCGTATTTCTTCGTCGTCGACGGAGAAGACGAAGACCACGCAAAAGGGACCTCCGTGGCAGTGGCAGTGGTCGCAGCCATCCGCTGTGCAGAACACGGCGGCGGTTGTGCGGCCACTCTGGAATGCTGCGGGCACCGGTATGCGCTGCTGGGCACCTGTGATTGGCTCCCACATGAGGAGTTCCTTGGTGTACGGGCACTTGGGGTTGGACAGGAAGAGGGCGCGGCCGTGGCGGCAGTCGACGGCCTGCCAGAGCCAGCGGTGGGGAACGGCGAGGGAGAATGGCGATGCGGTGGAGGGGATGAAATCGGGCATGTCCTTGTAGTCGTGGAGATACCCGAGCACCGGGGGTGCGCGGTGGAAATCGTGGAGGAGGCGGCGGAACCCACGGCGGGAGACGACCTCGCTCCAGGACTTGCAGACGAGGGAGGCACGGAGGAGGCTGGCCGGGTCGTCGGGCGGGATGCGGACGAGGATCTCTTCTACAAGCTCGTCCGGGAATGTTGGCGGCGGTCCTGGTGCCATGGCGGCCGCTAGTTTACTTTTCTTTTCTGGAGGTGCCATGGTGAGCACTTTTTTGGACGACGCAGAGGCTGACTTCTTATCGATCCACCGTCGTGCAAAGCTAAGCCTTGTCTAACCCTAGCTAGTCTGCTCCCAATCGATATTCTGTGATGATAGCTGCCGCCAATACACATGGAGTATATATAAGTAATATATACCTAGGAATAGACGACTACAGTAGTAAGTTACCGACTCGGCTTCTACTTCGCCTGGGGAATTCAATCGAGCGAACGATTCTGTTCGCTGCCAGAAGCCCCCAGCGCGTTATTCGCAAAAAAAAAGAGATATTCGCAAGAAAAAAAACCCAGAGCGAACACACAAACTCTCACCATCTCAAAACGTGACCCAATTGGGCCGAGAAAGGACCAATTTCCTGGAGTGCAGAGTTTCGTTGCCCAGGCTCATCAGCACCCGTTCAGGAAAAAAATCACAAAAAATAAAAAAAACATTTTTTTGCATGGTAGAAAATTTATTGCTTGAGGTCCGTTCCAATTTTCAGGTTATTTGCACATTTGAGTAGCTCTCAGGAAAAAAGATAAATCGGGTAAGAACAGTGCATGAACAATAACTTTTTTATAGACCTTGAATTTGTCTTTTTTTCTAAGAGCTGCTCAAATATCAAATGATTTGGAAATTGAAGCGAACCTCACGCATCAAATTATGTACCATGCAAAAATAATTGTAAATTTTTTGAAATTTTCCAGTATTTATTTTGATTTTGTTGAGCGCGGATGCAAATGAGCCTGGGTTCAGAAGTGGATTATCGCAATTTCCTGTGGTTACTACCAAAAGCTAAAAAATTTATATTACACCTGACATTGAATAGTTATATATAAAGACACAATTAAGCGAATTTCCATGTAATATAAAATAAAACCACCATCATGTACAAACGAATCAGATAAAAAATGGCTTGAAGAGAAAAAACGATGTTTGTAACTAAAAATGCCATAGTGATAATTTTATGCAAGATTTTTTTAAATATGTGTTTTAACGTAAGTTCTTTGAAATTTGCGATGCGAGTATTGACAAACTCCTAGAAAGGAATTATGGCAAATTTGTGATCATTTTGCTGTGCGACTATTTAGAAACTCCCCAAACTCTGTCATGGCAAATTATATTTGAACCATGGCAAAATTTCTTTCTTTTCGACAACGGCAAAACTCTTTTTTAGTACCATGGCAAGTGGGAAATGCCATTTTTTAACAATGGGAAAATTACTTCATGGAACATGAAAATATTTTTTTTGGTCCATGGCAAATTTACTTCAAGTGCCATGGCAATTTATTTTTTCTTTTAAATCATGGCAAAAATGTACTAAATGGAACATGGCAATTTCTTTCTTTATATCATGGCAAAATTACTTCGTGGGTGATGGAAATTTACTTTAGAAACCCATTTTGTTTGCTATTGAAAGATCGTCGATGTTGCCTAGAGGGGGGGGGGGTTGAATAGGCGTTTTAAAATAATTACGATTTAGGCTTTAACAAATGCGGAATAAACCTAGCGGTTAATTTGTCAAGCACAAAACCTAAAACAACTAGGCTCACCTATGTGCATCAACAACTTATGCTAAGCAAGATAAGCAACTATGTGATAGCAAGATATATGACAAGAAACAATATGGCTATCACAAAGTAAAGTGCATAAGTAAAGGGGCTCGGGTAAGAGATAACCGAGGCACGCGGGGACGACGATGTATCCCCAAGTCACACCCTTGCGGATGCTAATCTCCGTTTGGAGCGGTGTGGAGGCACAATGCTCCCCAAGAAGCCACTAAGGCCACCATAATCTCCTCACGCCCTCGCACAATGCAAGATGCCGTGATTCCACTAAGGGACCCTTAAGAGCGGTCACCTAACCCGTACAAATGGCAACCCTTGGGGGCGGTCACCGAACCCGTACACTTTGGTAACCCTTGGAGGCGGTCACCGGTACCCGTCAAATTGCTCGGGGCGATCTCCACAACCTAATTGAAGACCCCGACGCTTGCCCGAAGCTTTACACCATAATGATTGAGCTCCGAACAACACCAATCGTCTAGGGCGCCAAGGCACCCAAGAGAAACAAGCTCTAGGGTGCCCAAACACCCAAGAGTAATAAGCTTCTCAAACTTCACTTCCACGTAGCACCGTGGAGAACTCGAACCGATGCACCAAATGCAATGGCAAGGGCACACGGAGTGCCCAAGTCCTTCTCTCTCAAATCCCACCGAAGCAACTAATGCTAGGGAGGAAAATGAGAGGAAGACCAAGAAGGAGAACACCAAGAACTCCAAGATCTAGATCCAAGGGGTTCCCCTCACATAGAGGAGAAAGTGATTGATGGAAATGTGGATCTAGATCTCCTCTCTCTTTTCCCTCAAAAACTAGCAAGAATCCATGGAGGGATTGAGAGTTAGCAAGCTTGAAGAAGGTCAACAATGGGGGAAGAACACGAGCTCAAAGGATAAGGTTGAATGGGGAGGAAGACCCCCTTTTATAGGAGCTCCCGAATCCAACCGTTATGTGCTCAGTCCGCGCACGAGCGGTACTACCGCTCAGGGGAGCGGTACTACCGCCCGGGAGGTAGAACACGGAGAGCGGAGCGAAACAGAGTGCGTGGCGGAGCCGTATGAGCGGCACTACCGCTGGAGCCAGCGGTACTACCGTTGGCTGCAACGTTACTGCCGCTTGGGACAGCGGTACTACCGCTTGTGGCGATAAGCGGTACTGCCGCTCCAGCCCGGCGGTACTACCGGTGGGACTGCGCACAACTCCTATCACGAGCAGAGGGAGAAGGAACAGAGAGGAGGGCCATTGAGCGGCACTAGGGGTGGTGGTAGCCGCGGTACTACTGCACATGAGCGGTACTACCGCTCCTACTGCCGCTGAACCCGACACGAGAAAACCACGTCTCGAGTCGAGGCGGTACCAGCGCGGAACCGGAGCCGTACTACCGCTTATGGCCATGGGCGGTACTACCGCTTGTGGCGATAAGCGGTACTGCCGCTCCGGCCCAGCGGTACTACCGCTGGCGCCATCCTTAAGCCACTTTCACGAAAGCAAGTAAACTCCACGGAAAACCAGAACTGCCATAACTTCTGCATATGAGCTCCGAATTGAGCAAACTCAAGCTTGTTGGATACAAGACGACGAGTAGCATCAAAACCTCCAACCGAGAAGAACTGGCAAAACCTCCAACATCGAAAACATCATAGAAGATGTGAGTGGACTCCGTTTTCGATGAACTCGAGCTTGTCACCAAGATGACCATAAGCTCCAAAACTCACAAAGAGACAAACCAAACAAGAACCAATAAAGATGATGCAAGGATGCAATGGTTTGAGCTCTCTACGAATGATACGATCAAGCTACTCATCGAGAGCCCCCCTTGATAGTACGGCAATCGATTCTATAACCCGGTCTCCCAACTACCGTCATGAGACCGGTAAAATAGAAAACCTACCAAGGGCAAACCTTTGCCTTGCACATGGTCCACTTGAGCTAGATGATGGCGATCTTGACTCCCTCAAGTTGGACCACCTTTCTTGATTGGGTTGACTCGATGAAGCCTAGTTGATTGCTCCCCCATACTCCACTATAGGTGAGCCACTCTTCCGCACATCTTCACAAGTCCATTGTCACCACAAAGGACGGCAAGCTTTAAGCATTTGATCTCTTTGTGATGCTTTACTTGAACTTGCACACCGCAACCTTTCTTGATTGTGTTGACTTGATGAAGACTAGTTGATTGCTCCCCCATACTCCACTATGGGTGAGCCACTCTTCCGCACATCTTCACAAGTCCATTGTCACCACAAAGGACGGCAAGCTTCAAGCATTTGATCTCTTCGTGATGCTCCCTTGAACTTGCACACCGCAACCTAACCCCACAAAGAACCCTCACGAAGACCATGGGTTAGTACACAAAGCGTAATTGACAATGCTTACCATACCATGGGATCACTTGATCCCTCTCGGTACATCTTCTATGCTTTGTGGGTTGATCAACTTGATTCACTCTTTGACTTAGTCTTGATTAACCTCTCACAAGACCAATCTTTAGGTAATTCCTTGAATAGCACCTTGGTCGACACAAACTCTCCTTGAAACCAACACATGTACTCCAAGAAAAGCCTATGGACAAAACCTTCAAATATAACTTAAGGCAACCATTAGTCCATAGAGATTGTCATCAATTACCAAAACCAAACATGGGGGCACCGCATGTTTTTTCAGCCATGCTCTGTACTACGGGAAATTGTACTACATGGAACATGGGAAATTATTTTTTGTATCATGGAAGCTTTACTTCATGGGTCATGGCAAACTTACTGAAGATTTTTTTTTCTATTTTTCTTTTGTTTTCTATCATGGCAATTCTTTTTTTGTAGCATGAAAATTTTACTTCATGGGTCATGGAATTTTTTAGTTGAAAAATAATCTTTGGTATTTTTAATTTTGTTCTCTATCATGGAATATTTTGTAACACGTCAAAATGTAAAAAGATAAAGCATGCCATGGTGTCATGGATTATTTGTTTTGGTAAATCATTTTGATCTTAATTTGCCAAGGCAAAAACATATTTAAAACTAGTAGTTGTGTCTCACTACTCAGTTTGGATATTAGAAGTTGCAACTGCTCAAAAATGCCATCGTTTCGTGAGATACTTGCTAAAAATTGCCATCATTTGTTTGCTAAAAGAATACCATTAGACATCGTTATTGTCAGGTTAAACCCATTGACCATGTTATATGACAAAAATACCTC